GACCCCATCCCAGTGTCCCCAGTGTCCCCCCAGTGTCCCCATCCCAGTGACCCCATCCCAGTGTCCCCAGTGTCCCCATCCCAGTGTCCCCAGTGTCCCCATGTCCCAGTGTCCCCATGTCCCAGTGTCCCCAGTGTCCCCAGTGTCCCCAGTGTCCCCAGTATCCCCCCAGTGTCCCCGTGTCCCCAGGGAGTGCCTGGCGCAGCTGATCCGTTTCAGCGAGGAGCCGCTGGTGGCCTGTCCCTACCGCGATGTCACCTACGCGTGTGGCAGCCACCTGCAGGAGCGCGAGATCCGCGCGGTGCGTGCGGGGACGGGGGGCTGGGGGGGTCCCCGATGTCCCCAAGGTCACAGCTGCTGTCCCCCCTGAGGAGCACAGGGGGTCCCAATGTCGATCCGATGTCCCCAAGGTCCCAGCTGCTGTCCCCAGGGGAGCAGGGGGGGTTGGGTGGTTCGGGGGTCCCCATGGGTGGCTCTGGGTGTCCCCAATGTCCCCAGCTGCTGTCCCCCGAGGGGCACAGGGGACAGTGACCCGGGGCTACCCAGGGTGGCTCTCGGTGACTCTGGGGTGTCCCCAGTGTCCCCCCCCGATGTCCCCAAGGTCACAGCTGCTGTCCCCAGGGGAGCACAGGGAACAGTGACCTGGGGGTCCCCATGGGTGGCTCTCGGTGACTCTGAGGTGTCCCCAATGTCCCCGATGTCCCAGCTGCTGTCCCCCGAGGAGCAGGGGGGGTTGGGTGACCCAGGTGTCCCCAGGGGTGGCTCTCGGTGACTCTGGGGTGTCCCTGGCTGTGTCTCAGTGACTCTGGGGTGTCCCCGATGTCCCCAATGTCCCAGCTGCTGTCCCCAGAGGAGCACGCGCAGTTCCTGGCCCAGGGGCTGGCTCTGGGGGGCGATGGGTGATTTGGGGGTCCCCAGGGGTGGCTGTCAGTGACTCTGGGGTGTCCCCAATGTCCCAGCTGCTGTCCCCCGAGGAGCACGCGCAGTTCCTGGCGCGGGGGCTGGCCCTGGCCGAGCGCCGCAGCCGGAACAGTTTCCACTGCCGGGGCCGGGACTGTCCGGGCTGGTGTTTCTACGAGGACGCGGTCAACGAGTTCCCGTGCCCGGTGTGCGGGGCCCTCAACTGCCTCCTGTGCAAGGTGGGGGGCTCGGGGGGTCCCGGGGGGTCCCAGGGGGACTCTTGGGGGTCCCAGGGGGTGTCGGGGAGTCCTGGGGGGTGTCCCAGGGGAGTCCCGAGGGGTCCCGGGGGGGTCTTGGGGGTCCCAGGGGGTGTCGGGGAGTCCTGGGGGGGGGTCTCAGGGGGTCCCGAGGGGTCCCGGG